TATGGCAAGGCACAGAGAGGAGTCCAGCAATAGCTTAGCCAAGCTTCCCCCTCCTGAAACCATGAGGGTTACCTCTGATTGAATTACATAATGCAATTTATTTTTATATACTGACTGGAGCTTCCCTCAGAGCCAGCCTGGAGATAGGGCTTTCTTGGAGAGGGGGGACCCATGCGCTAGAAGGGAAAAGCCATCTGTCTGAGTTTAGTGCAGACAGGGCTGGCCTAGAGCCCCAGCAGAGTGGCTGGCTGACTGCAAGGCATGATTTAGGGGGCCCAGAAAACAACCCTCCCTTCCAGCCCCCAGCTCAACTAGCTAAGCCCTAAAATCCCTTTCCCAGGGGTCAGAGCCCCTGATTCCCTCTTGGCCCATGCAATGAGAGCTCAGGCTTAGAATTAAAAACCTCTTCAGAGTGGGGTAAGCCTTTTAAACAAGACCAGAGACTTCAGGGGTAGGAATATAAAGCAAAAAGGAGAGAGAGCAGAAAAAGCACTGGACCAAAGAGGCAAGAGGATGGACCAGAGTAAGGAACCAAGCCATACAAGATGGCAAGTGATTAGAATGAAGACAAGCACCTAGGTGACATAGCGGATAGTGCACCAGGCCTGGAATCAGGAAGACCTGAGTGCAAATTCCACCTAAGACACTTAATAGCTGTGTGACTGGATAAGAATAATCCCTGTCCTAACTAGGTTCATAATCTAATAGGGAACTATGACAAATAAATAAGTATAATAGAAAAAGTGTGCAAATAGTGCAATCCAGGTTCAGACCTGGCTCGGCATCCATTGGAACACCCATCACCTCATGAGTTGTTTTCCCATACAGAGATTTTTAGGGGTTCAGAAATGAGACCATCAGACAGAGTACATGCCATCTTGGTCGCCAGATGTTAGAACATCTCGAGGAGAAGGGCTAGGACCTGGGCATACTCCATCTCAGCACCTGGATGCATAAGCTATGCATACTTCACCTAGCAACCCACCTTAAGTGGTACTCTGCTACAAATTAACACTCATCAGTCTATCCTCCAGAGATCTACACCCAGAAAACCTCACAAAATCACTGGGGAATCTATGTACGATGCCTCTCAAAAGGCCTGAGGATCTGTGCCCAGATAAATCCCCTCCTCCTTCCCACTGCTCACAAACTCTCAACTTTCATACTATTTTTGTTGTTGTTGAGTGATTTCAGTTGTCTCCAACCCTTTGTGACCCCCACTTGGGATTTTCTTGGTAAAGATACTGGAACACTTTCCCATTTCCTTCTCCAGCTCATTTTACAGATGAGAAAACTAAAGTAAACAGGGCAAAGTGACTTGCCTGGGGTCACACAGCTAGTAAGTGTCTGAGGCAGGGTTTGAACTCAGGAAGATGAGTCTTCCTGACTCTAAGCTCACCTAGCTGCCTGATGCCATACTGTTAGCTCAGCCCATTTCCCTTTCTCATTTTTACTGACTTCCTACTTCCATTCACTGTCTGCATAACCAAAATCCCAATCTCCTCCTCTCTGTCCACTGTGTACTCCACAATCCTAAGGATCAGCTGAGGGACACCCCTCCCCTCCACTGATTAACAACGTCAGAACATCATGCTTCCTCCTTTATAGCCTCACAAAGAAGTAATCACCAATTACAGACAGCAGCAAGCCCCTATCAGTTTCCATGCACAGCTATCTGCCTTTTCAAATCAAGCATCCCAAGAGTCTAACAATGAGCAGATTGGGTGCAAACAGAATACTAAGTGAGATCCAAAGGGAGATTCCCACCTGGATCAAGGTTTCATGGAGGAGGTGGCACGAGAGCCTGGCCTTTATGGATGGACAAGAGGGTAAGTACATTCCAAACACAAGCAATGCCACGGGCAAAGGAACAGAGGTGGAAAAACTTGGAGCATTTGGGGAGTACAGTTTCCCTGGTGCATAAAGTGGATGCTGAGGAGTGATATGTGATAACACTGGAAATGTAAAGTGGCACATTATTGAAAAGGGCCTCGATAGTTCAAACTGCACTAGCCAGAAATACGGAGTCACTGCAGCTTTGGAGGCCAAGGAGTGACATGACCAGATTTCTGCAAAAGGAAGATTAGTTGGGGACATTTAGATGGAAGAGAAGGTGTCTTGACCTCAAGAATTTATACTTGAGGCGAGCAGAAAAGACTGAAACATATAAACCAATTAGAAAGAGAAATAAGGGAAGACTTAGGGGAGACATAACTGATGCCTTGGGACAGCTAAAGAGCACCATTGTGCACAGAGCACCAGGCGTAGAATCAGGAAGACTCATCTTCCTGAGTTCAAATCTGGCCTCAGATACTCACTAACCGTGTAACCCTAAGTAAGTCACTGAACCCTATGTGCCTCTGTTTCCTCATCTGTAAAATGATATGGAGAAGGAACTGCCCCAAAGTGGAATGGTCTGCCTTGGGAGTCAACAGGCTTCCTCTCAGTAGAAATCTTCAAATGAAAACTCAATGAACCCTTTTTGAGACTGTTATAGAGAGTATTCCCATTCAAGTAACAATTGGACTCAGCATCCTCTGAGGTCTCTTCCAACACTGACATCCTATGATCCTCCATCAAACAACAAATAAGTATTAAGCCACCTACTACGTGCCAGGCACTGTGCTAAGTTCTGGAGATTAAAGTACAAAGAAAAAACCACATCTCTACTCCTAAGGAATTTATACTCTACTCATAAGGGAAGACAATACATACACACAAATCTATAAAACATAAAGTCAATACATACAAGGTAAATCAGGAGAGAGGATACTACCAACTGGGGCATCCAGAAGGCTCCACATAGAATATGGGAATATGGTGCCTGTAAAGCAAGAGAAGGATTCACACACAGAGGCTGGAGGAGTGTTGTGAACGATGAGGATTATTCGGAGAACATCCCCCAGACAGTAATTCAATGCTTAATTGTGCCAAGCAGGTTACAGATGCTGAAGAGGTTCAGGGATCTCCAGCAAAAGGTCAGCATAGTTTGGAGTAGTCAGAAACTCCTTGAAGGTTGGATGAAATTGAGAGTCAGAAAAGAGGGGGATGGCATGAGCAAAGACCAGGTGGTAGCAACAAGCCTAATATTGTGCAGGAGGGAGAAGAGGAAAGAAGAGAGGAAGGAAGAGAAGTGATTTTTCAATACTTTGGCCTGTCATAATGGGGTTTCCCCATGTCAGTGGAAGCCTGGTCCAAGGCTCTTGGGACACTCCAATTACCTCCCCTGTCCTGAGACTCAAAGTCCTGAAGGTGTTGGGTTCTGACTTCATCTGCTTTGCAGATGAGACTTCAGGCCCTGACCCCTTGGGGTCATTCAGAGAGCCAGCTCATCTTTCACTGGCCTGCTAAGAATAACACTTCTCCCTCACTCAGGATGTTGCTTTCGCTCTTAGAAGGAATCCAAGCGCTAAGCAGGGGTCTTAGCCCCCTTGACCTGGGCAAATTCCACTGTGACTCAGGACACACTGTCTATTTCTGCCTCCCTCCATTCAGCATCACACACACCATCACATACACACACACACACACACACACACACACACACACACACACACACACCCCACTCCCTTCTAGATATGACCGTGCACAGCTTGAGTGAATGGGAATTGTATTTCTCTTGCTTGCTTCTCCACCCAAACCACTTTAATAATATAGCTGGTAACATGGGTGGTGTAGAGTGACTTTTGAGGAGCCCAGTAAGTCAATGTAATGTGATCTCTACCCTGGGGTTGGAGAGGGCACTGGGAGTCATGGAAATCTTGGAACTAGAGAATCTTAGTGGAAAGTGAACTGGACATGGAAATGGGAGGGATCTGGGTTCAAATCCCATCTTCAGTGATTACAAGCTACATAACCATGGACAAGTCCAGGGGTGGGGGACCTGCAGCCTCAAGGCCACATATGGCCTTCTAGGTCCTTGGGTGTGGCCTTTTGACTGAGTCCAAGTTTTACCGAGCAAATCCTTTTACTAAGGGGATTTGCTCTGTGAAGTTTGGATTCAGTCAAAGGGCCACACTTAAGGACCTAGAAGGCCACAGGTTCCCCACCCCTGGGCAAGTCATTTGACTTCCATGAGTTATTTTTATTTGTTTGGTTTTTTACCCTCAACACTTAGCACAGTGCTTGTCACATAGAAACCACTTAATAAACGCTTTTTCATTTATTGAAACAAACATGAAATCAACATATATGAAGCTCACTTATGCAAAACAACTAAGAGACATGATCATGGTATATCATTCCTAGAATGCCAAAATGAGGGACTGCTGCTATATAAAGTCAGTCTACAGCCTCTGGGAATTCATCTGTATGGAGGATCACAATTTTACATCTTCAGTAAATCAGGAGATGAGGGGATTACAACCTCCAAAAAGCTCCAAATGGGATAATTCACACTGTTACTCTGTTCCGTGCATGCATCCCACCCACCATCCTTATTCCCATCTATAGAAGCTCTCCCTGTACTACAAGAGCTAACTCAATTATCAGCCATCTCCTTTGCTAGATTGTAAATTCCTTGGGGGCAAGCACAGTGTCTTAACATTTCCCGATCCACCTGATGAACCTAGTACTGTACTTTGCTAAGAGTAGGGGATACATAAAAGTATGTTGAATGAATAATTGAATCTCACGTACTCCATGAAACCTCCCCTAATTACCCCAGCCCTGAATGATCTACTGTTGCTACAGGTCTGCAACTACCAGAAGGCAATCAGGACTTCTCCTATCAGAATTTAGAGGCTGCAAAAATTGAACACATAACATATATAAAATATAAGTTAGAAGATGCAAAATTTTGACATATATACACCTTCAACAGAAAGAATATTGATCAGTGGATAGAGCACCGGCCCTGGATTAGGAGGACCTGCGTTCAAATCCGGCCTCAGACACATAACACTTACTAGCTGTGTGACCCTGGGCAAGCCACTTAACTCCATTGCCTAGCCAAAAAAAAAAAAAGAATATTGTTAGAAGAGTTTTATTTCAGAATATTGGTCCACACTGGGATTTTGTCCTCTTGAGAGTCTTCTACCAGCTATCATCAGAGGCTGTTGGATAAAAAGGGAAAAGGCAGTTTGGACTTGGGTTATTCTTTCCTTTTCTCCCTCTACCCCCATAAAGAAGTCCCTGCCCTGCCCTGCCCTGCACCCACCAAAGTGTTTCCCATTCCCTCCATACTTTCCAGATGGATCTGCCTCTTTTTCAAACAGTGGCTCTCCCCTCCCCAACCCCATGTGGATAGAACCAGTGCTCCCTTCCTTCCCACATGCTGTGACTTCTTGAGTGTACAGCACAGGACCCCAAAACCCCAATGATTGGAAAGGTTACCATGCAAAGTTATTTCCATTTCTGGGGCCCTATCTCCAAAGTCACTTAATAGTTAATTAATTCGTCCTTCCAGACGACTGAGATTGCCTTAATTTATTCCTGTCTTTTTTATAGAGCTGACCTTGGTGTCAGGAAAACCCAGGTTCAAATTTTACTCTGCAGCGTGTTGGCTGTGTTACTCTGAGCAAGTCACTTACCCCCTTGGTGTCTCAAACAACTCCCTAACTATAAGTGGTAGAGAAGATTCCAATTGGCATGGATAGAGGCAGTTCCTCACCACATAATCACAGGTCTGGTGAATACATGTAAAACTGATTTGTTGCTCAAGTCGAACATGTTTGGCCTGGACAACAAAAGAACTAGTTAAGGCTCTGCTCTCCTGAACTCCCCTGATGCCATTCTGATGCCTCTCCTATAGCTTCCCTGAATTTCAATTATTTGCGAATGTAATCTGTTTCGCCTACTAGATTGTAAATTAACAGAGGACAAGGACCGAGTCTTCTTCATCTCTGTATCCCACCTCTGCCACGTGCAGTCAATTACTGAAATGTCTATGAAATGAATGAATCAAAGTTCCACTATGGAAAACACAAACAAAAATAACTATATAGCTCAGACTCAGTTAAGTCGATGTAGATAAAAGTAGAGCTAGTTCACAGGGGACATGGACAGCTAGGTCTGAGCAAAGGGCTGGCCGTGGGGATTCAGGAGGAAAGTGACATTAAAAGTGAGGACGGGTAAGTTATAAATGAAAGCTCAGTCTGGGCGGAAGATGCTGATTCAACCTAATTGTCCACAGACAAACTTTCCTAAAAAAATAGCTTGTTCATTGGACATTTTGTTTCTTTCTGATTGATTAATTGTAAAGACAAAAAGTAGTAGTCTTAGAGACAGAAGACCTGGGTTAGCCTCCTAACTCTGCTATGTATTCTCTCTCTTTGAGCGCTGCTGAGTCTCAGTTTCCTCATCGGTGAAGCAGAGGTGATAATACTTGTACTAATTTCCTCACAGGAAGAAGATTGAATGAGATAATGTACATAAAAGCGCTTGGGCAAGCCTCTTCCTCTCCACAGACCTCCATCTCCTCCTCTGTATAATGAAGAGGGTCTGACTAGATGATCTCTGGGGTCCCTCCCCAGATCTAAATCTATGATCCTATGCTTGGAAAGCCTTAAAGAGTTACATAAAAGTGAGCTATGAGTATTATTATCATAACTATTATTAGCATTATTATTTATGAACCCAGTAATATTTTATAAACTAATTGCTACATGGAGGGAAAGAGAGGGAGACAACCCAAAATAAAACTTTCACCTTGACTGATTCTCCTTGGCAGGCTTCCTGGAGTGGTTAGAAACCACTATGAATGTCTCAGGCTGTCTACTGAAAGGGATGCTGGGACAACAGGAGGGGACGAGGAGGGAAGAAAGCAAAAAGAAAAAGCCAGGGACTGATGGACAGGGAAATATTTCAAAGGGTAATGTTCATATTCTGGGGCATCAGTGTTGGGGCCTCTGGTCCTCTAGTGAATTCATCTTCATCACTTGGTCAAGATAAACCAGGCTTGAGCTGCAGCCACTCGCCTATATGAAGGGCCACCTGTCCCTTGTTGCAGAGTGCTCTAATAATGGGGCCCAGGACAGTGAAATTCTAGCTTTAACACTATGCTGTACTGAACATAATTCAATTCAATAACATGTCTTCAGCCTCTACTGGGTGTAATAGCAACAATCCCATCCTGTTACTCCCATTCTCTAGAATGTTTAATGGCTCCCTATTGCTCCCAAGGATAAAATAAAAACTCTTTAGCTTGGTATCAAAAACTCTCCATAATCTGGCTACAGACTATTTTTACAGACATATATTACCCCCCTTCCTGTGCCTTACATTCCAGCAAAGGGGGCTATTTGCTATTCTCCAAACTCTCCTCCCCAGCATTCTATCTCCCTATTTGAAACTGAGAAATGTTAAGTGACTGGCCCTGGGTCACGCAGCTAGCTTAGGGAGGAGTCAGGATTAGAACCCAAGGGCCTCCTGGTTCCAGGTCTAGTGTTCTTTCACTATAACCTGCCACCTTTACAAAGTACTATCCCATATAGATTTCATTTGTTCCTTATAGTTTAATTAAATTCAACTACCATTTGATAAGGTTCTCCACAGCCTGGAGGAAGAGGCCTCCTTAGGCACTCGGAAAGCTGGGACAATGTGCTGACAGCATCTCTAATTCACCATTTCTGAAGCCAAATGGTGAGATTCCAGGTACTGTGACTTCATGGTGGGGGTGATTTACTTAGTTCCATAGCCTAAGAGTGCCTTAAATGCTACCATTATGGGCAAATCTACTGAACGCCTGGGTAAAATTGACCCTGTTTATGAGCATCAAGGGGCAGCTAGGTGGCACAGTGGATAAAGCACTGGGAAGCCAGGAAGATCTGAATTCAAATCTGGACTTAGATATGCACTAGCTAGCTGTGAGACCCTAGGTAAGTCATTTAACCTCTCTTTGCCTTAATCCACTAGAGAAAGAAATGGCAACCCACTCCAGTATCATTGCCAAGAAAATCCCATGGACAATGGTCCGTGGAGTAAAGAGTCAGACCCGACAACAACAAATGAACATCATAGTCATTTCACCTATGTGATCCTCAGTTTCCCCATCTGTAGGACAGGAATACTAAATAATACATGCAGTGCTTCCTCACAAGATAATTGTGAGAAACGGTGCTTACAGTTCTGTAAGGAGAGACAACTGAACTGTCATTTCAGACATAAATCAAAAGGCAAACCTGTATCCTTAAGGCAGCTGGATGACACAGTGTCTGACAGAGAGCCGGGCCTGGAGTCAGGACCACGAGTTGAAATTCCACCTCAGACACTTACTAGCTGTGGGACCCTGGGCAAGTCACTTAACCTTTGTTTGCCTTAATTTCCTCACCTCTACAACAGAGGTAATAGCACCTCCCTCCCAGGGTTGTGTGAGGATCAAAGAGATCACATTTACACAGTGCTTAGAAGAGTGCTTGGAAGACCATCATTGCCATCATTGCATCTATATAGAACAGGCAGTGCAGCCAGGCTCTCCCAGCCTCACTCAGGCAACCTTAGCCACCCTTACAGGTGTGACCCAAATTTTAGAGTTATGGAACAGAGTTCAAACGCTTGGATTGAGACCTTATCAGCCGTTCCCACTGAGACCTTGCAAATGTTTCCAGGGCTAAAGCTCAGAAGCGTCTCCTAACTTCTATTTCTTCTGCCTGTGGCCTCGTGTTAAATCTATACATCCATTAACCAATCCACAAGCCTGATAAATGCTTGACAGGTGCTGTCCTGGGTGCTAGGAATACAAAAACAAACAGTGAAATGCTGTCTCCTCTCAAGCAGCTTATAAATTCTATCAAAGGAGCTGAAATGGAAAGATTTCCTAGATCAACTTTTTCCTTATCATTATTCTGTTACTGGTTAGTAACTCTGGTCCTGCCCTGAAATGACTTTCAGACATGACTATATCATCAGCTAGGCTGTACAGGACTCCCAATCATCTCCCATGACTTGTTCATTGCTAATGAAGCAATGGACAAAGGAAAAGTCCTGACAGAAAAAATCTTCCATCCTCCCTATTTTTCCCTCTAGCTCTTCATTCTTTGAGTGGCCATGGCTTGGCTTACTTTATTTTCATCCCAGCCCTTCTGCTCTTCTGTTCTTTCTGATCAAGGCTTTATGGAGAGGTCCAACCAAATACACAAAGCATCAGCTATTGTATAAATATAAACTGCTTCACAAACAAGGAAACTGAGGCCCAAAGAAATCAAGTGACTGGCCATGCAGGTAGTATGGGGCAAAGCCATGCCTTGAACCCATGTTCTCTGACTCCCCATCACGGAACTAAAATTCAATAAATATTTACCACTTGGCTTTATGCAGAGCACTGTGCTAGGGACTGGCTCACTCAGATGATGCCACTGTATAGACCACATTCCACTTTAAGGGCTTCCTTCCAAATATTTTCCCCAGTGAACTCATTAAACAACTGTAATGGGAACCAGCCAGCTTGTATATTACGAGGGAGCTACAATGGTAAACAAGGGTCTCTTGCACCCAGGAAAATGGTTTCAGAATGGTGATTTTGTGAGCACAAGAGGAACAGGCTGAAAATGGCTTTGGGGAAATTCAACCCAAAGTTGTGTCAGCTTAATGGTCAGAAGGTGAGATGCTGAATTCCCATTATGGAGATGTTGGAAAACTTAATTAAGGGTTTGCAAAATGGAAGTTAAGAAAAAGTTCTAGGAAAGCTAAAATGTGTTCTTCAGGAGGCAAGCACTCCAAGCACTGTGGTCTACCAGTCACCACCAGCAGCAGCATTCTAATCATCCAAAACTCCCCCATACCAACCAATTCATAACAACCACCCAGCACCATTATTCCTCGTCTTTCAGATGTGCTTAGAATTCTCTATAGTATAGGTTCTTAACCATCTTTCTGTCATGAGCCCCTTGGACAGTATGGCGAAGCCAATGGACTCTCTCAGATTAAGGTTTATAAATGCATAAAATACATAGGATTACAAAAGAAACCAATTATACAGAAACACAGCTACAAAAAAGACAACTGCCCCTCATACCTCAGGCTAAGAACTCTTGCTCCAAAGGTACCTTTGTTTTCCTTTTCTTTTTTTCTTTATTTATTAATTTTCTTTCTTTCTTTCTTTCTTTCTTTCTTTCTTTCTTTCTTTCTTTCTTTCTTTCTTTCTTTCTTTTTACTTTTCAACATTCACTTTCACAACATTTTAAGTTTCTAATTTTCTCCCCTCCTCTCCCCAGACAGCACGCAATCTGATCTAGGCTATACGTGTACAATCATATTCAACATACTTCCACATTAGACATGTTGGAAAAGAAGAATCAGAACAAAAGGGAAAAACCACAAAAAAGAAAGAAAGGGAGAAAACAGTCTGCTTCGATCTTCACTGAGACTCCACGGCTCTTTCTCTGGATGTGGACGGCACTTTCCATCGTGAGTCATCTGAAGCTGTCTTAGATCATCGTACCGCTGAGAAGAGCCCAGTCTCTCATAGTTGGTTATTGCACAGTGTGGCTGTCACTGTGCACGGCGCTCTCCTGGTTCTGCTCACTCCGCTCGCCGTCAGTTCATGTACATCTTTCCAGGTGTTTCTGAATTCCTCCTGCTCATCATCCGAAGACTGAATTGGACTGAATACTCGATCTCGTCAGTACTTTCTGTCTCTCCAGTTGGAGGGTGGGGCTATGAACTCCAAACCACAACCTCACACAGGGTAACCTTCCCCAGTCCCCCTCCACTTTTCAGCTTCCTTTTGTGTTTTGCCTT